TGAGCCGGCTATAGAGAAACCCCTTGACCATGGAAGGCAATCAGAATTCAGTGTACAGACTGCCACAGATCTCTAACACCACCATTAGCCAACAGTTTCCGTACTAGATGGCTAAATTCCATTTCTGGAGAAACCCACCTCTAATTCATCATGTGGAAACCCTAATGAGGGCTGATGACCATTCCACCTTGTAGGATAAAACAGTCCCTAGTTTGCATGGAGTGTTTCCTATCGCTGAGGGAAAAATACTAAACCAATCAGCTGCTCATAGATTGAAGGCCAGCATTATTCCTAATTTGTGCATAGAATAACATTATATTTTCAACAGATTTTGAAAGTCTTGATTATAAGCTATAATTCAATATTTTTGTTTGTCTCAGTTTAGTAACTATCTATTGAAAATAAGAGTGCCATATGATGACCAATACCACCTGGGGGTATTGGTCATTATAGCTTACATCTATAATCATTTTAAATGGGTACATGCTACAACCAGTGGGGTAACATTTTTCTCCTTAAAAATTAAGAGAAAAAATATTATGGGTTAGGTAGGTCTTAGTGTCTGGAACTGCCAGAAACATGATCAGTCTTTCCAATGCCTCTCTGCTTTCAAGAATTCAAAAAGTAAAGAATGACAGCCAAGCTGAGCATCTGTATGAAAACACCTTTTCTTCTTGGTGTGAATGCATAGTTCTGAGCACTACAATTGATGTTACTGGGAGTCTAGACCTCTGTACCTAAAAGGGGGTGATTAGCATTTTAAGTTGGAGAAACGAGAGAAGTGGAAGCTGAAAACATACAAAATCTGATGTCTTCGCATCTAGACCAACAATAGCTGAGGGAATAAACCCAGTGCCTTCCTTTTAAGTGTGCCAGGCCACATGCAGCTACCCCTCAAAATGACTTACACGGAATCCATCTCTAAGATCCAAGGTTTGCTCCAAGTCACTTCTTAGGGGATAATGTGCTCAGGTACCAAGTCTATCATCAATAATCTTCGAGGGCCCTGGGCACTAATTACACCTTGGCCTCCATCATGGTGCTTAGAAAGGTTTGGGTAGGTGGGTGAGATCTTGGACAGTGTACTGCTGTTGACAAGCCTTTCAAAGTTCCCAGAAAACTTCACAATCAACAAATAAAAATATCTAAATGCCAAGCCCATCAGGAAAGAAGGTTAGTGCTATTTTCATTGTCAGTTAAAGCTAAATAAAAAAATATATGAATAAATAAATAAATAAGGCAATTGAAAGGTTACATCTTTCTTTTAGAGGTGGTTTGTTTCTTAAAGGTTAACTTGAATGCTTGACTTTAAAAAATCAAAATCATCAGCTGCAAATGCTTAAAGCAGTTGGGGGTAGCTTTTGAAGAAGAAAACAAAGGATCTGAAATATTTGAGAATTACTTAGCCCCCATATAAATGGTGCTTGTGTGTTTGTATTCTTGCTCTTTGAATGCACACACACACACACACACACACACACACACACACACACACACTACACACACCAAACTCAGTCCTCATCGTTTCTCAAAAGAATGCTTATACTCAGGCATTTTCTGTTGACACAAAATAACATTTTAATAACTTGTTAGCTGTCCTAATCATTTGGTAGTACCCAGAATACAATGCAGTATGCAATATGAACCAGTAAGGCCTTCTGCCTAGATCAAAATCCACAACTGCATATAGAAACCAGCCATTTGCAGCATCTTCAGCTCCTGCTAAATAGAGTCTAACAATATATTTCTCTGTTCACATTCATGTATTTCAAAACCTAATAGCCCATGAAGAAAAGTATGAAGAATACATCTCAAGAAGCAGACATTAAAGGTGCCAGCAAAATAATAGACTACATTTAAGTTTAAAGCATTATTTTGGTGACTTACATCATTAATGACTTTCTCTTTGTGGTGGGCATTGGAGGAAACAATGCAAAGAGGGGATTGGCATAAATATTGTCTTCTATTATAAAAGTTCCTTTGCTGTGTGAGATTATTCATACATACATACAGAGGCCTTCTCAAGTGGCAATAGAATTATTTGACCTTAAGAAATCTACATGAATATTTGAAATTTGAAAAAAATGTACTTCTAAAATGTATTTTTAAAATAGTCTGTATAAATCATTTGTCATAGTGTGATATTTAATTATTACACTATGCTTTTAAAGCAAAAGGGCATTGGGTACATAACAATCAGACAGAATTTCACATTTGAAGTAAACTTAATTTAGAAATAGTCAAATATGCCGTCATCTTAAATACTCTGACAAAAATCACAAAACTGCTGTTAAAACTACCATCATATTCACATCAAGTTCTGCCCCAAAAATCTCATCTTTAACAAAAAGGGGGAGAGATTATTATTGTTTTATCCCTGTTATTATTTCTAGGAAGATGAGTTATTTCTATTTCTCTTTCTGTGTTTAATGTTGGGCTCAGTGTCTGATGTCAGTTTAAATACTATACTATTAATCAATCTTAAACTTTCCAGGCTACTGAGACCAGGGTTTTAATCTCACAAATTTTTAGTTACAGCAATTCTTGCTTAGGTATTCAACTTTTTAAAATCTCAACAAATTTTGCAAGGTGGCGCTCTTTTCTCAAAAGGCCAATATTGTTATTATAAACAGAACAACTTTGTTTTTACATTTAAACATCAGTATTCTCACCCTTTTCTATTTAAAAAATCACATGATATATTATAAAAGCAGCAAAGCCTTTTATCTATAAATAAGACTTTGTTGACTAAACATTAGAAGTACAAATAGCAAGAGGTGGTTCTAAAGAGTGTAATATTTTTATTTTTTAATTAGCCAGTGATATAATTTCTTAAGTTGCTATTGCTGTGAAACACATGTTAAGCACTTAAGAGGTTCTTGTTCTTAGGCCTGTAACTTCCGGGACACACAGAGGACAGTTAAGAGCAGAGCCATGCTTCCCCTGACTTCTAACTCATCCATACCCTTGCAGGCATAGCCAAGGGCCTGATTTGTGAGTTCTAGCTACGTTGTCTGCCTAATGGGGCGATCATGCAAGCGACAACCAGAGACAAAGAAACCAGCGTCCCTACCAGAGAACCTAACTTCGCCGAAGCAGCATAGCTTGCAAATCTATCAAACTAAACTGCAAGAAAGACAATCTGATTTAGAGAAAGGGCGTTCTGCCACAGTCATTAAGCACAAGTAATTTAGATTTTTTATATTGTCTCCTCATTTACAAATTTACTGTATCAACGCCAGCCAATGGAACGAATTTCTTAAGTAAATGAGAAATAAATAAAAGAGATAGAAAGATAATCACATTACATAAAATAATTCTGTTTTCTAGATGTATTTTTGAGAGAACTAATGGCAGTAGCAAAATTATAGGAATAATAATATATCATAGGAAGTAATTAATTTAAATTAGCATCATGTTTGAAAAATATAAGTGAAACGCTTTATGGACATTTACTTTTGTACAAAGATGGAAGGCCTGGAAAAGCATGCATCGGCATCCTGAAAATTAGTTATGGCCATAATGGTTTAATTGAAGACAGCAATTTAAAATATAATATTGTAAATCTACAATCCAGTTTCAGACCAGGGGATTTAATTGGGGAGGGGGTTAAGCTGAACCCTTGAATGACTGCAAGTTCATTTGCAAGGCTACAGAGAGAGCCCCCGAGCTTCTCACAATTCGCTTACATTAATATTGATGTTGCCTGTGCAATCTATTTCCGTTATTTTTATGGTTGTTATTCTATGTCTGCAAAGGTCATTTAAATTATACTGAGGCCGAAAATTTGTTTCATAAATTTTGATATAAATACTAATTACACCCTCTCGGAGAGCCAGCAGGGTAGCGTTCATTTATCAAGTTTATATGACCTGCAATGACAGAAAAGAAGGGAAGAGAGGCTGGAGAGCTTTCCCGAAGATCCACTAAGGCTGGCACAGGTTGCTGGGGGGGGGAGGGGTGTGAAGAAGAAATTCCTACCACAATCACTGAGATTTAAGAATCTTTAATAAGGTACGAAAGATTACCAAACAGTTCTGGAAACTAAAGTGTACATAAGAGTTTTTTTTTTTCTAGCCATAAATATTGAATAGCTGTAACATGGATAAACCGGGCCCTTTACATGCGGATAAATATGGAAACTAGGAATTATATACATTGCGTGGTTGTATATTTTGCCAAAAGCAATGGACAGCTATAGTTTATATCTTTTTTAATATCACTTTACATAAACAAATGGAACAGTGTGACACGTAAGATCCGGGCTCATACTATACGAATTGTTGACAGGACATGAAACAACATTTTACTGCACTAAAGTACTCAGACTTTGGGACGAAAATGTTTGCACTTTATACAAAAAAAAGCACATTAATATCAATAATATTCTGTTAGGTCGACGTGGAGACTGTATTCGTACAAAGTAGTTCACATTTTTCCAACCCCAGAGAAACTCCATACAGAATCCAACAGAACAGATTTAAGCTAATAATTCTGTATTTACAAGAAAGCAAAACAAGAAGATAAAGAAAAGCTGCAGCCCCAGAGAGCTTGTTCTGATCCAACAAGAAATTGGCCCTCAGGGCCTTTAAGCCGTGTTCGGTCAGGCAGCCACCTCCTCTTCCACCCCCTCCCGCCCTTCACCCCCCCGCCCTTCAGCTACCAAGCCTTTTCCAAAAAAAAAGAAAAAGAAAAAGAAAGAAAGAAAGAAAGAAAGAGAGAGAGGGCGAGAAAAGAAAGAAAGAAACGAAAGAAAGAAAGAAAACGAGAAAGAAAAGAAAGAAGAAAATGAAAAGAAAGAGAAAATGGAAAAAAATTAAAGGCTTGCTGTTTGCTCTGTCTTACTCAGTCCTGGATTTATCGGCAGATTTAGAAACAAAAACAAACGTTTGCGGGATCGAGTCGAGGGGTGTTTCGATTTTCAGGATTCTTTCAATTATAATGTGTGTACGTGTGTGTTCAGTCTCTTAAATAGGGTTTGGCATGTTTTGTTTCTGATTTTAAACGTACCATTCGTTAAAATTGGAAGAGAGCGCGCTGTGGCCGGCTGTGTGGTGGACCGCGGAGGAGGAGGGCGACATGGAGCTGGTGGTCGGGTTGTCTGTGGTGGGAGACACGATGGTGGGTGGCGTGGACGACTCGTACCCAGAGCTGGCAGCGGGCGAAGGCTGTGAGCCCTGAGAAGAGGACTCGTGGACCTGAGAGAATAAAGTTGGGTTTTAATGCAGATAAAGAGTGAGCCCAGCGGCTACGCC